TTAGGTTGTTCATGGTCAGCGTCACTAAGCTCTGCCCATTGTCCCTGGAGATCGTGACCCGGCCTTTGAACACGGGTGGGTACCAGTTGTATCCATCACTGTCTATCGCTGTGACCCACTCCAGCCCCTGCCCGGGTCTCTGGCGAACCCAGCCGAGCCCGAATTTCCCAAAATTGAACCCGGACTCTCGGCAGAGGAGGCGCAGGGACCCCCCGGGGGGCTGGAGGTCCCCCCGCACTCCAGCAGGGTCACGGCCGCCCGGAGCCCTGCGGGACAAAGGGGAGATGGGGATGGGGATAAAAAGCAACCCAAATATTGATTCTTGCATGCAGATCCTGATGCTGGCCACAAACTGGGACCCTTGGACCTCACCATCCTCCTCCTGCAGCACCTACCAATCCTCCCAGGTGGATCCCACACCCTTCTTCTGTCATGGCGGTGCCCACTTTGGGTCCACAGCCAATCCAGCTCCTCCTCCCCATCTCCCCTTTGTCCCGCAGGGCTCCGGGCGGCCGTGACCCTGCTGGACTGCGGGGGGCACCTCCAGCCCCCCGGGGGGTCCCTGCGCCTCCTCTGTCGAGGGTCCGTGTTCAGTTTCGGCAGCTCTGACATGCTCTGCATCTGCCAGAGACCCGGGCAGGGGCTGGAATGGCTCGCAGGCATCTACAGCAGTGGTTCCAGCACCGCCTAAGCGCCATCGGTGCAGGGCTGGTTCAGGATCTCCAGGGACAACGGGCAGAGCTCGGTGACGCTGACCATGAACAACCTCAGGGACGAGGATTCCGCCACCTTTTTCTGTGCCAAGGGTGCTGGTGCTGGTGCTAATACTGCGTATGCTATTGGCTCCTCCCCAATGGTCGTGCCCCATTCCCCAGACCCTTCCCCCAAACCCCAACCCCTGACCCCATTCCTGACCCTCTGTCCCAGCCCTGCTCTGACTCTGCCCCAAATGTCCCCTCTGGGCCACACTCAGTGCCCTCGTTTCTCAAATTGCATTCAGTTTCTCAAAATTTGGGGCCAAAGTTAAGGTCAGGAGTCTAAAATTCAAATTTTGGCCCGAAATTCCTTATGTGAGGCTAATGGGCCAGATTTGGGTCAGTGGCTGTTACTTGGTGCCTGCAGGGGAGATTTGGGGTAAAATTGGACAAGTCTGGGGGCAGTGGTTGGGATTGGAGGGACGAGGCTGAGCTCAGGGTGAAACCGGCCGTGATTTGGGGCCAGGAGCTGAGATTTGGGGCTAGACCAGGGCAAGGTTGGGACAAAGGCTCAGGAGTGAGGTCAGGGGTTGGAGGGAAGGGTCTGGGGCACGGGGACAGGAAGAAAATGATAAACAAAAGCAGCAGCACCCCAACCAGTACCAGAAGTAAAAGCACATTTGGCACAGAAATAGGATCCGGAATCCTCGTCCTTGAGGTTGTTCATGGTCAGCGTCACCGAGCTCTGCCCGTTGTCCCTGGAGATCCTGAACCGGGCCTTGACAGAATCCACGTACCAGGTGCTGCCCCCATCATACCTTATCCCCGCGACCCATTCCAGCCCCTGCCTGGGTCTCTGACGAACCCAATCCATTTCAAAACTCCTGAAGCTGAACCCGGACTCTCAGCAGAGGAGGCGCAGGGATCCCCCGGGGGGCTGGAGGTCCCCCCCGCACTCCAGCAGGGTCACGGCCGCCCGGAGCTCTGCGGGACAAAGGGGAGATGATTAAAAATGAGAATTATGATTTGTCCAGAAGGGGGAAAGGGACGTGGCTTGTGTAAAAAGGGGCGGAGCCCACCTGGGAGGGCCAGCAGGAGCAGCAGGACCTGGAGCCAGGGGGAGCTCGAAGCCAAGTCCGGGATGTGCCGGGGTTGGGTTCCCGGGGGGATTTGGGCGTTGTTAACGTGGTATTACTTTTGAAATCAATTTGGAACCCTGAGGAGAAGGTTTCCAATTAATTAAGGAGAATATTCAGTTTAATTCCAGGTTTTGAGGAACTTCAGGATACCCAAGACCTCTGGTGGAGATTTGGGACCGAACCAGGGGAGTTATGAGGGAAATTGGTGAGGTTTTGGAGATGGGCTCCGGGCGGCCGTGACCCTGCTGGAGTGCGGGGGGGACCTCCAGCCCCCCGAGGGGTCCCTGCGCCTCCTCTGCCAAGGGTCTGGGTTCAGTTTCGGCAGTTTTGGGATGGGCTGGTATCGACAGGGGCCTGGACAAGGGCTGGAGTACGTTGCAAGGATCAGTGACAGTGGAGGTTACACCGAGTATGCGCCATCGGTCAAGGGCCGGGTCACGATCTCCAGGGACAACGGGCAGAGCTTGGTGACGCTGACCCTGAACAACCTCAAGTTCGAGGATTCCGCCACTTATTTCTGTGTCAAAGCTCCTGGTGGTGGTGGTGCTGCTCGTGCTGATTATATTGATGGTGCTCGTGCTCTTCCCATCTCGGTGTCCCCCCCTGTCCCCGTTCCCCAGACCCTTCCCCCAAACCCCCAGCCCACACCCAGCCCTTGACCATTCATCCCAACCTTGCTCTGCTTCGGCCCCAATTCTCACCCGCTGACACCAAACCACAACTCCTGACCCCAAATCTCCTCCTTGTGTCCCAAAACTTCATTCTGAAAGTGGATACTTCTGGTCGTGGGTTAAGATTTCAGTCAAGTTTGTGGCCAAGAGTGGAGAATTTGGGGCAGAGCCAGGACAGGGTTGGGAGATGGGGTCAGAAATGGGGTCAGGGGCAGAGTTTGGGAGAAGGGTCGGGGGAACAGGTACAGGTGGGGACACAGCCATGGGAAAGGGGTCAAAACCATCAACAGCAGCGAGAGCATATTTCCCTTCTGGAGTTTTGCCAAAGAAATAGGATCCAGAATCCTCGTCCTTGAGGTTGTTCATGGTCAGCGTCACCGGGCTCTGCCCGTTGTCCCTGGAGATCGCGACCCAGCCCTTGACTGTATCCCCACAGTAGGTGTCCCCTTCGTAGTCAATCCGCGCAACCCCTTCCAGCGCCTGCCCAGGCCTCTGGTGAACCCAAATAAAACTGGTTTGTCCAAAATCGAAGCCCGACCCTCGGCCGAGGAGGCACAGGGACCCCCCGGGGGGCTGGAGGTCCCCCCCGCACTCCAGCAGGGTCAAAGCTGCCCCGAGCCCTGCAGGACAAAGGGGAGATGGGGATGAGGCCAAAGCTCAACCCTTGACCCAAATCCTGACTCTTGGCCCCAAACTGGGACCCTTGGAGTTCATCATCCTCCTCTCACAGGCGTCCCACCACTTTTTCATGTGTGCCATGCCAACTTGGGCGCTCTTGACCAATCAGGTTTCTGTTCTCCATCTCCCCTTTGACAGGGATGATGCCAAAACGCTCAGACAGGGGTGATGCCAAAACCGGCATGGTCAATATAAGCAGCAGCTGCACCAGCATAAGCAGATTTGGCACAGAAATAAACGGTGGAATCCTCGTCCTTGAGGTTGTTCATGGTCAGCGTCACCGAGCTCTGCCTGTTGTCCCTGGAGATCCTGAACCGGCCCTGCACCGATGGCGCGTAGTAGGTGTAACCACCAGTGTTGCTGAAGTAGGCAACAAATTCCAGCCCGTGACCGGGTCTCTGGCCAATCCATTCCATGTCAAAACTCCCAAAACTGAACCCGGACCCTCGGCAGAGGAGGCGGAGGGACCCCCCGGGGGGCTGGAGGTGCCCCCCGCACTCCAGCAGGGTCACGGGCGCCCAGAGCCCTGCGGGACAAAGGGGAGATGGGGATGAGGCCAGAGCTCAACCCTTGACCCAAATCCTGACTCTTGGCCCCAAATTTTGACACTTCTGGCACCACATCCTCATCCTGACTGCCATCTCACGTGGGTCCTGCCCCTTTTTTCTGCAAGCCATGCCCCTTTTCTCGTTCTGGACCAATCAGAATTGTCATTTCCATCATCTCCCAGTTGCCCCGCAGGGCTCTGGGCCGCCGTGACCCTGCTGGAGTTCGGGGGGGACCTCCAGCCCCCCGGGGGGTCCCTGCGCCTCCTCTGCCGAGGGTCCGGGTTCAGTTTCCGTGGTTTCCACATGAGCTGGTATCAACAGAGACCCGGGCAGGGGCTGGAAGCAGTCGCAAGTATCAGCAAGTATGGTGGCAGTGCCAGTTTCTCGGATTCCGTCAAGGGCCGGTTCAGGATCTCCAGGGACAACGGGCAGAACTCGGTGACGCTGACCATGAACAACCTCAAGGACGAGGATTCCGGATACTATTTCTGTGGCAGAAGTGTTGTTGGTAGTGCTGGTTGGAATGCTGCAGCAGGTATTGGTCATTCTCATGTTTCGGTTGCATTTGGCTGTGTTCCTGTTCCCCGGTCCCCACCTATCTCCGTTCTCTGGACCCTTCCCCAAAACCCCAAGCCTGGACACCATTCCTGTCCCCATATCCTAATCTTGGAGTGGTTCGGCCTGAAATCCGCTCTCTGCACCTTACCAAAAAGTTGACTCAAACCTTAACCCTTGGCTTGAAGTATCCACTTTTATAACAAGGTTTTGGGGCACAAAGAGGAGATTTGGGTCAGGAGTTGTGGTTTGGGGTCAGCGGATGAGAATTGGGGCCGAGGCAGAGCAAGTTTGGGATCAATGGTCAAGGGCTGGGTGTGGGCTGGGGGTTTGGGGGAAGGGTCTGGGCAACGGAGACAGGGCGGACACAGAGATGGGGATGGGGACAGCAAGGCCATCGTCAACACGATGAGCACTTTCAGCCCAACCACCACGAGCACTCTTGGCACAGAAATAGGTGGCGGAATCCTCGTCCTTGAGGTTGTTCATGGTCAGCGTCACCGAGCTCTGCCCGTTGTCCCTGGAGATCCTGAACAGGCCCTTGACCGATGGATTGTAGAAGGTGGTGCCACCAGTGTTGTAGATGCATGCAACGTATTCCAAACCCTGCCTGGGTCTCTGGCGGATCCAGTACATTCCATAATCCCCAAAATTGAACCCGGACCCTAGGCACAGCAACGTCAGGGAACCCCCTGGGGGCTGGAGTTCCCCCCCTCACTCCAACAGGGTCATGGCCGCTTGGAGCCCTGCGGGACAAAGGGGAGATGGGGATGAGGACAAAGCTAAACATTGACCCAAATCCTGACTCTGGGCCCCAAAATGGAATTCTTGGAGTTCATCATCCACCTCCCAGGAGTGTTCTACCCCTTTGTCCAGCTGGCCACGCCCACTTAAAAGCCCTACACCAATCAGACTTTCGATTTCAGTCATCTCCCCTTTGTCCCACAGGGCTCCGGGCGGCCGTGACCCTGCTGGAGTGCGGGGCAGACCTCCAGCCTCCCGGGGGTTCCCTGCACCTCCTCTGCTGAGGGTCCGGGTTCAGTTTTGGACGAACAAGTCAGATGTGGATCCGCCAGCGGCCTGGGCAGGGCCTGGAATACATTGCAGGGATTGACTATGATGGATACACCAGATACCCATCATCGTTCAGCGGCCGAGTCAGCATCTCCAGGGACAACGGGCAGAGCTCGTTGACGCTGACCATGAACCACAAGGACGAGGATTCCGGATCCTATTTCTGTGCCAAAACTCCTGAGGGTTATAATGCTGTTGTTGCTGATCTTAGTGATGCTGTTGGTGCTGGTTATGGAGCATTTAGCCCCCCCACTTTGTTGCGTCCCTAATTGTCCCCAAACCCCAGACCCTCCCCCCAGATCCCAGCCCTCGTCCCCGCTCTCGGTGACTGAATTCGTGTCCCCAGCCCCGGCCCAGCGCTGACCTTTGGGGCAGAGTTTGGGGGAAGATCAACGGCCAAGGGTTGGGGTTTGGGGCCGGAGAGGGGAAAGGGAAATGGAGAAATGGTCATGGGCTGGGTGAGGGGCTGGGAGCTGGGGAAGGGTCTGGGGAATGGGGACAGGAGGTGATGCTGTGATGAGGATGAGACCAGGACTTCGCAGGTCCCCATGAGCAGCAGCACCAGGACCACCAGTATTGTAAGATTTCCCGCAGAAGAAGACGGCGGAATCCTCGTCCTTGAGGTTGTTCATGGTCAGCGTCACTGAGCTCTGCCCGTTGTCCCTGGAGATCGTGAACCGGCCCTTGACCGAAGGCGCGTACCAGGTGCTGCCACCATTGCTGGTGATACTTGCGAGGCATTCCAGTGCACACTTCGGCGTCTGTCGATACCAGCCCATCCCAAAACTCCAAAAATCGAACCCAGACCCTCGGCAGAGGAGGCGCAGGTACGCCCCGGGGGGCTGGAGGTCCCCCCCTGCACTCCAGCAGGGTCACGGCCACCCGGAGCCCTGCAGGACAAAGGGGAGATGGGGATGAGAAACCTGATTGGCTGAGGACCCTAAGTGGGTGTGGCCAGCTGGAGAAAGGGACGGGACCCACCTGGGAGGGTGAACAGGAGCAGGAGGAGAAAAACAAATTGTCACAACCTGGGGCGGATAGTTGGGACATTGGGGTCAAGGGCTTGATCTTTGGCCTCATCCCCATCTCCCCTTTGTCCTGCAGGGCTCCAGGTGGCCGTGACCCTGCTGGAGTGCGGGGGGGACCTCCAGCCCCCCGGGGGGTCCCTGACGTCGCTGTGCCGAGGGTCCGGGTTCAGTTTCGGCAGTTCTGACCTGCTCTGAGTCTGACAGAGACCCAGGCAGGGGCTGGAGTGGCTCGCGGGGATCAGCAGTGCTGCTTACCCCTACTATGCGCCATGCGTGCAGGACCGGTTCACGATCTCCAGGGACAAGGGCCAGAGCTCGGTGACGCTGACCATGAACAACCTCAAGGATGAGGATTCTGCCATCTATTTCTGCGCGAAGTGTTATTTTGCTGGTTGTAATTACCAGGCTTATGGTATTGGTGCTGGTTTCAGGCCGGCCTTTGTTGTTGGGTCCCCAGATGTCCCCAACCCTCTGACCATTCTCCCAAACCTCACCCATTGACTCAGATCTTCACCCTTTGTCCCCATTTGCACCAATGGTCAGCACTGACCCCAAACCCTCCCCTGCTCCTGCCCCAAAACTCAACCATTGGCCCCAAACCTTCACCCCTGGCCTCCAGTTCAAGCCTCCTCCAATCAGGGCCCAGGGAGCTGGGGGAGATTTGGGTGTAAGGGGCAAAACAGGGGGAAAGTGTAGGGTTGAGGCAGCAGGGGCCGAGTTTGGGGAAAACTCTTTAACAACTGAGGAGAAAAGCTGGGCTCTGGAGGAAGGATCACAGGGAGTGGAGACATCTGGCGACCATCCTAGGGCTGGGGCCACTGCCGGAATTCTCACTAAAAGCAGCAACATGAGCACCATAACTACTACTAGCACATTTAGTGCAGAAATAAACGGCGGAATCCTTGTCCTTGAGGTTGTTCATGGTCAGCGTCACCGAGCTCTGCCCGTTGTCCCTGGAGATCCTGAACCGGCCCTTGACCGACGGCGTGTAGTAGGTGCAACCACCAGTGTTGCTGATACTGGCGATGTATTCCAGCGTCTGCCCGGGTCTCTGGCGCATCCAGCCCGCCCCAAAATTGCCAAAATCAAACCCAGATGCGCGGCACAGAAACGTCAGGGACCCCCCAGGGGGCTGCAGGTCCCCCCGCACTCCAGCAGGGTCACGGCGGCCCGGAGCCCTGCGGGACAAAGGGGAGATGGGGATGGGGCCAAAGCTCAACCCTTGACCCAAATCCTGACTCTGGGCCCCAAACTGGGAACCATGGAGTTCATAATCCTCCACCCATGTGAGTCCTGCTCCATTTTTGAAGCATGCCATGTGAAGTTGGGCACTCTTGACCAATCAGGTTTCCCGTCCCCATCTCTCCTTTGTCCCGCAGGGCTCCGGGTGGCCGTGACCTGCTGGAGTGTGGGGGGGACCTCCAGCCCCCAGGGGCATCCCTGCGCCTCCTCTGCCGAGGGTCCGGGTTCAGTTTTGGCAGTTCCACCATGCTCTGGATCCGCCAGAGACCCCGACAGGCGCTGGAGTGGCTTACGGGGATCACCAGTGGTGGCACCACTGCCTATGCGCCGTCTGTCAAGGGCCGGTTCACGATCTCCAGGGACAACAGGCAGAGATCGGTGACACTGACCATGAACAACCTCAAGTTTGAGGATTCCGGTTCGTATTTCTGCGCCAAATCTGTTGATGATGGTACTGGCTGGGACACTGTTGCCTATCGTGTTGACACCATGTCCTTTAGCAGAGTCCACAGAGATTGCCCGAGCTCCATGCAGGATTGAGACGTAACAGCTGGAACTGTTCAGTCATGATGGAACAGCACGATAATCTCCTGTCTTCTGCCTCTCACACCAGAGCTTATCTCTGTAACCCCATTGGTGACTTCTCCCTGACCCTCACTGTTGGACACGTTTGGATCCCCCTGTACCCTATAAAAGGGGCTGGTTTAGCCCATCTGACAGGAGAAGAGCTGTCACTGCAACCCCTCACAGATCCCTCAATGAACCATGGCTGTGGAACCACCAGGACCTCTCCTGCTCCTCTCTGTCTGTCTGGTTCTGCCCCAGCCAAAGGCGCCCCAGCGAGTGAGCAAAGAGCTGGAATCCTGAGAGCTGAGAATCACGAAAGAGCTGAAATCTTGAGAAAGTTGATAATCACGAAAGAGCTGAAATCACTAAATAGCTGAAATCCTGAGGGAGCTGAGAATCACTAAAGAGCTGAAATCACTGAGCTTGCTGAGATGGTGGCATCTCTGTGCAGATTGGGTTTTGGGGCACTCTGTCTCCAAGATTTATCCAGATTGGCCTGCAAGGCACAGGAATCAGCCCAAATCTGATATCTGGGTCTTATCAGGGTTGGGACAAGGGGACAGGAACAGGGTCAGGGCTTGGGGTTTGTGGGAAGGGCCAGGGGAATGGGGACCGGAGGGGAGCAAGGGCACGGGGTCGGGGACAAAATGATAAGCATCAGCAAAGGCCCAAGTGCGTTTGGCACAGAAATAAACAGCGGAATCCTCGTCCTTGAGGTTGTTCATGGTCAGCGTCACCGAGCTCTGCCCGTTGTCCCTGGAGATCGTGAACCGGCCCTTGAATGATGGCGCGTACTCGGTGTAAGCACCATCGCACCTGATCCCCGCGACCCATTCCAGCCCCTACCCGGGTCTCTGGCGGATCCATTCCATTTCAAAACTGCCGAAAATGAACCCGGACCCTCGGCAGAGGAGGAGCAGGGACCCCCCGGGGGGCTGGAGGGCCCCCACGCACTCCAGCAGGGTCACGGCCGACCGGAGCCCTGCGGGACAAAGGAGTGATGGGGATGGGAAACCTGATTGGCTGAGGGCCTCAAAGTGGATGTGTCAAACTGGAAAATCGGGCGGGACCCACCTTAGAGGGGCAGCCGGAGCAGGACAACTAGGATGGGGTGGTCCAAAGGGTCCAGTTTCGGGCCCAGAGTCAGGGTTTGGGTCAAGGGTTGAGCTTTGACCTCATCCCCATCTCCCCGTTGTCCCACAGGGCTCCGGGCAGCTGTGACCCTGCTGGAGTGCGGGGGGACCTCCAGCCCCTCGGGGGCTCCCTGCGCCTCCTCTGCCGAGGGTCTGGGTTCAGTTTCGGAAGCTACGACATGTTCTCGGTGCGCAAGAGACTCAGGCAGGGCCTGGAATGGCTCGCGTGGATCAGGAATGATGGTGGCAACTCCGGCTACGCGGATTCAGTGAACGGCAGGGTCACGATCTCCAGGGACAACGGGCAGAGCTCGGTGATGCTGACCATGAACAATCTCAAGGAAGAGGATTCCGGATCCTATCTCTGCGCCAAATGTTACAGCAGTGGTTGTGGTCCTAATATTGCTGCTGGTTATGATGACGATGCCAGTGGTGGCCCCTCCTCGATGCTGTGCCCACAAACATCCCCCATCCCAAAACCCCACATTCTACCTCCAAATCTTTAGTGCTGGCCACAAATCTTGACCCTTTTCCCCAGTCTCCCCAATCATATTCTAACCTCACACATTTCCATGGCGCTTTCAGAATTTGAAATAATTCTCAAAGATTCATCCCCAAAACCCTACACTGTGTGCCCCAGATCTCAGCAGGGTTCACTTCTGACCATTGGTGCCAAACTCAGCTGGTTCTGCCCCAAATCTCGGCTCTTGGCACCAAACCTCAGCTCTTGGCTCCAAGGCTCAACCAAGATTCTCAAACCTGGGTGGAAATGGTCGAGATTTGGGGAAAACGGGCTGATTTGGGTCTGTGGGGGTCACCAATGGGGTCAAGGGTAGGAGGGAAGGATCTGGGGAACGGGGATGGAGACAGGACCAAAATTAGAACCAGCAGCATGAGCCTCCCAACGCCAACCATCATAGGCGTTTTTGGCAAAGAAATAGGATCCGGAATCCTTGTCCTTCAGGTTGTTCATGGTCAGCGTCACCGAGCTCTGCCCGTTGTCCCTGGAGATCCTGAACCGGCCCCTGACCGATGGCACGTATCTGGGGGTGGAACCATGACCGTTGATCCCCGCGACGTATTCCAGCCCCATCCCGGGTCTCTGGCGCATCCAGAACATTGCAGATTTTGTGAAATTGAAGCCAGATGTTTGGCACAGAAACATCAGGGACCCCCCGGGGGGCTGGAGGTTCCCCCCGGACTCCAGCAGGGTCACAGTCGCCTGGAGCACTGTGGGACAAAGGGGAGATGGGGATGAGGACATGGATTGCTTTTGGACCCAAAGTGGGCCTCGCCATGCCAGAATAAGGGTGTGGGATCCACCTGGGAGGGCCAGCAGGTGCTGTAGGAGGAGGATGGGGAGGTCCAAGGGTCCCAATTTGGGGCCAACATCAGGGTCTGCATGCAAGAATTAAAATTTGGGTAGTTTTTTTTTTTCCTCACCATCTCCCCTTTGTCCCGCAGGGCTCCAGGCAGCCGTGACCCTGCTGGAGTGCGGGGGGGACCTCCAGTACCCCGGGGGGTCCCTGACGTTGCTGTGCCTCTACTCTGGGTTTGATTTTGGCAGTTTTGATATGTGCTGGATGCGCCAGACACCATGGCAGATGCTGGAATAAATTGCCAGTATCAACATCAATGCTGGCAGCACCGACTACGTGCCGTCGGTGCAGGGCCGGTTCATGATCTCCAGGGACAACGGGCAGAGCTCGGTGACGCTGACCATGAATAACCTCAAGGACGAGGATTCCTCCGTTTATTTTTGCGGAAAATCTGCTGGTACTGGTGGTGGTGGTGCTGTTGCTAATTAAGATGATGATGATGGTTGTGTCCCCATCCCCGTGGCCCCCCCTGTCCCCGTTGCCCAGACCCTTCCCCCAAACCCCCAGCTCACACCCAGCCCTTGACCATTGATTCCAACCTTGCTCTGCCTCGGCCCCAGTTCTCACCCGCTGACCCAAAACTACAACTCCTGACCCCAAATCTCCTCTTTGTGCCCCAAAACTTTGCTCTGAAGTTTGGGGTTTGAGGCCCGGGGCCCTGATTTGGATCAGAATTGGGGATTTTTGTGAGTGGTGGCTGCTCGGGGCCAGCAGCGCAGATTTGGGCAGAGCTGGGCGAGTTCAGCCCAGGGATCCTGGCAGAGGGGCCGGGGCCAGCCCAGCAGCCAAAATGGCCCCGAGTGGGCCCCGAGCTGAGGTGTGGGGCCAGGAGCTGCGAATGTGGGGCAGAGCCAGGGCAGGGTTGGGGCACGGGGAAAGGAATGGGGTCAGGGGCTGGGATTTGGTGGAAGGGTCACTGTGGAGACAGTTGGTCACAACCATGGCGGTGGGAACACTGACGGTGCTGCTCCCAATAGCAGCAGCACTCTCAGAACCGTAACTACTACTGGCACGTTTTGTGCAGAAATAAACGGCGGAATCCTCGTCCTTGAGGTTTTTCATGGTCAGCGTCACCGAGCTCTGCCCGTTGTCCCTGGAGATCCTGAACCGGCCCTTGACCGACGGCGCGTAGCCGATGCCGCCGCCAGTGCTGCTGATGCTGGCGATGTATTCCAGTGTCTGCCTGGGTCTCTGACGGATCCAGATCATTCCAAAATTCCCGAAATCAAACCCAGATGCGCGGCACAGAAACGTCAGGGAACCCCTGGGGGTTGGAGGTCCCCCCCGCACTCCAGCAGGGTCACAGCTGCCCGGAGCCCTGCAGGACAAAGGAGAGATGGGGATGAGGCCAAAGCTCAACCCTTGACCCAAATCCTGACTCTGGGCCCCAAATTGGGACCCATGGAGCTCATCATCCTCCTCACAGGTGGGTCCTGCTCCTTTTTCTAGCTGGCCTTGCCCACTTTGAGGCCCTCAGCCAATCAGGTTTCTCATCCCCATCTCCCCTTTTGTCCCGCAGGGCTCTGGGCAGCCCGTGACCCTGCTGGAGTGCGGGGGGGACCTCCAGCCCCTCGATGGGGTCACTGTGCCTCCTCTGCCGGCGGTCTGGGTTAAGTTTTGGGAGCTACGACATGCTCTGGGGGCGCCAGAGACCCGGGCAGGGGCTGGAGTTGGTTGCAAGTATCAGCTACAATGGTGGTTGGACCGCATACGCATCATCGGTAAAGGGTCGTTTCAGGATCTCCAGGGACAACGGGCAGAGCTCGGTGACGCTGACCATGAACAACCTCCAGGACGAGGATTCCGGATCCTATTTCTGTGCCAAACATGCTTAGAGTGGTTACACTTATGGTTCTGCTGCTTTTATCGACAATTCCGGCAGTGGTCCCGCCCTCCATGATGGTCACCAGATGTCTCCATTCCCAGTGATCCTTCCTCCAGAGTCCAGCTTTTCTCTTCAAATGCTCAATATTTTCCCCTAAACTTGGCCCCTGCTGCCCCAACTCGCGGCTTTCTCACAATTTTGCCCATTTAATGCAAATATCTCCAAGTTTCCGAGGCCCTCATTGGAGGAGGCCTGACCTGGAGCCCAGGGGTGAAGGTTTGGGGCCAATGGTTGAGTTTTGGGGCAGGAGCAGAGGAGGGTTTGGGGTCAGTGCTGATCATTGGGGCAAAATGGGAACAAAGGGTGAAGATCTGACGTTTGGGGGGCGGGTCTCAGATTGGGGGCAGGGGGGGACACTGAGAGGGGGGTGGATCCACAACTGTCACCTTCACTGTAAGCACCAGGACTACAACAACCACTAGTAGCACGTTTGGCACAGAAATAGGATCCGGAATTCTCGTCCTTGAGGTTGTTCATGGTCAGCGTCACCGCGCTCTGCCCGTTGTCCCTGGAGATCGTGACCCGGCCCTTGACCGATGGCGCATAGCATGTGCTGCCACCAGTGCTGATCCCCGCGAGCAACTCCAGCCCCTGCCCGGGTCTCTGACGGACCCAGCTCATGGGCTGACACCCAAAATCGATCCCAGAGGTGCAGCACTGCACAGTCAGGGCCCCCCCGGGGGGCTGGAGGTCCCCCCCGCACTCCAGCAGGGTCACGGCCACCCGGAGCCCTGCGGGACAAAGGGGAGATGGGGTTCGGGCCAAAGCTCAACATTGACCCAAATCCTGACTGTTGGCCCCAAACTGGGACGACCCTTTGTAATTCTCTTCCTGATCCTGGTCACCCTCCAGAATGGATCCTATAGATTTTTCCAACTGGCCAGGATGACTTGGGGACTCTCGACCAATCAGGTTTCTCATCCCCATCTCTCCTTTGTCCCGCAAGGCTCCGGGCGGCCGTGACCCTACTGGAGTGCGGGGGGGACGTCCAGCCCCCCGGGGGATCCCTGACGTTGCTGTGCCGAGGGTCTGGGTTCAGTTTTGGGAGTTTTGCCCTACAATGGGTCCGTCAGAGACCCGGGCAGGGGCTGGAATTCGTCACCTACACCGCAACGGTGGCAGCACGTGGTACGCGCCATCGGTCAAGGGCCGGTTCATGATCGCCAGGGACAACGGGCAGAGTCTGATGACGCTGACAATCGCCAACCACAAGGTCGAGGATTACGCTGTTTATTTCTGTGCCAAAAATTGGGATGATTGTTGTGCTCCTGCTGCTGGTGACGATATTGTTTGTGGTGATGTTGGTCATGGTAGTTTTTTCTGAGTCGCCATCTTTAAGTTCCCCCCCTGTCCCCAAACCCAGATCCTCCCCCCAAACCTCAGCACTTCACCCTTTGTCCCAAATCTCCCCCATTTGCCCCAATGGTCAGCACTGACCCCAAACCCTCCCCTGCTCCTGCCCCAAAACTCAACCATTGGCCCCAAACCTTCACCTTTGGCCTGCAGGTTAGGCCTCCTCCAATCAGGTCCTGGGGAGCTGGGGGAGATTTGGGTGAAATGGGAAAAACTGGGGGATAATTGAATGTTGGGGCAATGATGGTGGACACTGGGGAGAAGGTCAAGAATGGGGTCAAGGTTTGGGATTTGGGGCAGGATTTGGAGATATTGGAACATTTGGGGAGCCAGGAATGGCGGTTTGGTGCCACCACCAGCATCATCACCATGACCAGAACTCCCAGTGAGGATTCCAGCCAAGCCCCAAGGAGCAGCACCAGACACCGAGGCCGCTGAGGGAGAAGTGAAGCCCCAGGTGGGACAAAGGGAGGGAGGGAGGAGAAGACGCCGCGATTTTGGGGCTCCGCAGCCTCCCCCCACTTCCTCCCCGGCAGCTGCCGGGGCCCGGCCGGGGCAGGAAAGGAAACAGAAAGTTCCTGGTTTTGGTCACTGTGAACATCTGTGTTTGGCAGAGGGCAGCTCAGCCTCTGGGCGCTGCGGCAGAGCGCCGGCTGCACAAAAAGCTTTGTGTGCAAAGGGCCCTGGCGTGATCCCTGTTGCAGACAGGGACGGAGGGGAAGGGCCAGACTGGGGAGAAATGGGCAAAATTGTTGGGAAATTGGGAATTGGGGAAGTGATGGTGGAGTTTGGGGGAAAATATCTGAGATGTGAGAAAAAGAGCCAGGATTTTGGGGAAGGATCAGAGAATTCTGAGTTACTTGGGAAGAGAGAGGAGAGGGCTTGGGACCACAACCACCATCAACACCATGAGCAGCAGCATCACCACCAAAACCACTCCTGTAACATTTGGCAAAGAAATAAACAGCGGAATCGTCTTCCTTGAGGTTGTTCATGGTCAGCGTCACCGAGCTCTGCCCGTTGTCCCTGGAGATCGTGAACTGGCCCTTGACTGATGGTGTGTAGGCCGTGTAACCACCATTACCGTAGATCCCCGCGACCCACTCCAGCGCATTCCCGGGTCTCTGACGCATCCAGAACATTCCATTACTCCCGAAATCGATCCCGAACCCTCGCCAGAGGAGGCGCAGGGACCCCCCGGGGGGCTGGAGGTCCCCCCTGCACTCCAGCAGGGTCACGGCAGCCCGGAGCCCATCCCGAAACCTTCACCAATTTCTCTTAAAACTCCCCTGGTTTGGTCTCAAAACCCCACCAGAGATTTCCATATCTCAACATGCCTCAAACCCTGCAATTAACCCCAATCAATTCTTTAATTACTTAGACACCTCATCCTGAGCATTCTGCATTGATTACACAGTTAATACACTGTTAACAACCACCAATTCCCCCCGGAACCCCAACCCGGGCACATCCCAGCCACGGCTTTGAGCTCCCTCCGGCTCGTGACCCTGCTGATCCTGCTGCCCATCCCAGGAGGGTTCCACACCTTTTTTCCTCAAGCCACGCCCCTTTTCCCCTTCTGGACCAATCAGGTTTCTCATCTCCATCTCCCCTTTGTCCCACAGGGCTCCGGGCGCCCGTGACCTTGCTGGAGTGCAGGGGGGGGGACCTCCAGCCCCCCGAGGGGTCCCTTCGCCTCCTCTGCCGAGGGTCCGGGTTCAGTTTTGGGAGCTACGACATGTTCTGGGTGCGCCAGAGACCCGGGCAGGGGCTGGAATGGCTCGCGTGGATCAGGAACAATGGTGGCAACTCCGGCTACGCGGATTCAGTCAAGGGCCGAGTCACGATCTCCAGAGACAATGGGCAGAGCTCGGTGACGCTGACCATGAACAACCTCAAGGACGAGGATTCCGGATCCTATTTCTGTGCCAAATATTACAGCAGTGGTTGTGGTCCTAATATTGTTGCTGGTTATGATGACGATGCCAGTGGTGGCCCCTCCTCGATACTGTGCCCACAAACATCCCAAAACCCCACATTCTACTCCCAAATCCTTAGTGCTGGCAACAAATCTTGACCATTTTCCCCTATCTCCCCAATCATTGTCTCACCTCACACATTTCCATGGCGCTTTCAGAATTTGAAATAATTCTCAAAGGTTCATCCCCAATACTCTGCCCTGTGTGCCCCAGATCTCAGCAGGGTTCACTTGTGACCATTGGCTCCAAACTCAGCTGGTTCTGCCCCAAATCTTGGCTCTTGGCGCCACACCTCAGCTCTTGGCTCCAAGGCTCAACCAAGGCTCTCAACCCTGGGTGCAAATGGTCAAGATTTGTGAAAAATGGTCCAGATTTGGGTCTGTGGGGGTCAAAAATGGGGTCAAAGGTAGGACGGAAGGACCTGGGGAACGGGGATGGGGACGGGACCAAAATTAGAACCAGCAGCATGAGCCTCCCAACCCCAACCATCATAGGCGTCATTGGCACAGCAATAGGATCCGGAATCCTCGTCCTTCAGGCTGTTCATGGTCAGCGTCAACGAGCTCTGCCCGTTGTCCCTGGAGATCCTGACCCGGCCCTGCACCGATGGTGTGTATCTGGGGGTGGAACCATCGCCGTTGATCCCCGTCATGAATTCCAGCCCCTGCCCGGGTCTCTGGTGGATCCAGAACATTGCAGATTTTGTGAAATTGAAGCCAGATGTTTTGCACAGCAACGTCAGGGACCCCCCAGGGGGCTGGAGGTTCCCCCCGCACTCCAGCAGGGTCACAGCCGCCCGGAGCCCTGCGGGACAAAGGGGAGATGGGGATGAGGCCAAAGCTCAACCCTTGACCCAAATCCTGACCCTTGGCCCAAAACTGTGAACCATGTACCATCCCATCCTGGTTGTTTTGCTCCTGCTGCCTCTCCCAGATGGGTGTCACACACTTTTTCTGGCATGGCCATGTTCACTTCAGGTCCGCAGCCGATCAGATTTCCCATCCCCCTCTCCCTTTTGTCCCGCAGGTCTCCGGGCGGCCGTGACCCTGCTGGAGTGCGGGGGGGAACTCCAACCCCCCGGGGGTTCCGTGCGCCTCCTCTGCCGAGGGTCTGGGTTCAGTTTTGGGAGTGTTGCAATGGGATGGATGCGCCAGAGGCCCGGGAAGGGGCTGGAATACATTGCCAGTATCAGCTACAATGGTCGTAGCGCCGGCTACGCGCCATCAGTGCAGGGCCGGTTCAGGATCTCCAGGGACAATGGGCAGAGCTCGGTGGCGCTGACCATGAACAACCTCAAGGACGAGGATTCCGGATCCTATTTCTGTGCCAAGGGTGCTGCGGGCTGTGCTGGTTATACTGGTGCCTATTGTATTGACCCTGCACCCATTGCTATGTCCCCCCGTCCCCGTTCCCCAGACCCTTCCCCCAGTCCCCAGCCCCTGACCCCATTCCTGTCCCCGTGTCCCAGCTCTGAACTGGCTCTGTCCCAAATCTCCCCCATTCTCCCCCAAACTCCCATCTCTCGGCCCCACCCCTTCACCCTTGTTGCCAATTTTTGTGCTGAATCCTCAAGATTTAATGCCCGCAGCTTGGGTTTGGGGACAGGGTTGCAGATTTTGGACTGCCCCAGAGGGATTCTCAGGCCGATGGTCACAAGTGTCAAGGGCTGAGGTTTTGGAGAAAGGGTCTGGGTTTGAGGACAGGGGGGAGTCCAAATGGGAGCAGGGCCAAAACCACCATGACCAACATCACCACAATCAATATCCTCACCAGCAGCAGGAGCACAACAATCATCCCAATTTTTGGCACAGAAATAAAGAGCGGAATCCTCGACCTTGAGGTTGGTCATGGTCGGCGTCATCAGACTCTGCCCGTTGTCCCTGGCGATCATGAACCGGCCCTTGACCGAATCCGCGTACCAGGTGCTGCCACCACAGCGGATGTAGGCGACGAACTCCAGCCCCTGCCCGGGTCTCTGTCAGGCCCATTGTAGGGCAAGACTCCCGAAACTGAATCCCAACCCTCGGCAGAGGAGGTGCAGGGAACCCCCGGGGGGCTGGAGGTCCCCCCCCCACTCCAGCAGGGTCACGGACGCCCGGAGCCCTGCGGGACAAAGGGGAGATGGGGATGAGGGAACGAATCCACCCAAATGTTGATTCTTGCCTGCAGACCCTGATGTTGGCCCCAAATTGGGACCCTGGGACCTCCCCATCCTCCTCCTGCAGCTCCTGCTGGCCCTCCCAGGTGGATCCCACACTCTTTTTCTGGCATGGCGGTGCCCACTTTGGGTCCATAAACAATGCGTCTCCTCATCCCCATCTCCCCTTTGTCCCGCAGGGATTCAGGTGGCTGTGACCCTGCTGGAGTGCGGGGGGGACCTCCAGCCCACCGGGGGGTCCCTGTGCCTCCTCTGCCGAGGGTCCGGGTTCGATTTCAGGAGTTACCCATTGAGCTGGGTGCGCCAGAGACCCGGGCAGTGGCTGGAGTGGCTCGCAGGCATCTACAGCGATGGTTCCTACATCTCCTACGCGCCATCGGTCAAGGGTCGGTTCACGATCTCCAGGGACAACGGGCAGAGCTCGGTGACGCTGACCATGAACAACCTCAAGGACGAGGATTCTGCCACCTATTTCTGTGCCAAGGGTTTTGCTGGTTGTGCTGGTGATAACGATCCCTGCTGTATTGACCTCTTCCCCATCACTGCGTCCGCCCTGTCCCAGTTCCCCAGACCCTTCCCAAGCTCCCAGCCCCTGACCCAGCCCGTGACCATTTCTCCATTTCCCTTTCCCCTCTCCGGCCCCAAACCC